ATCACATTGTCCCTCTGGAGGATATAAGAACCATTAAGTGTATTTGATCTGTTACCTGATTTTACAATCTCTATAAAATTGTCAAGGAAAATGGTATCATCCTTGATGATTTCAACAGTGGAATCGTTACAGGTGGCGTAAGTACAACTTGTTTGTCCTCCCTTGAGAAGACGAGTCAGACAAGTAGATTCTGTTACCAGATCGAGTGATTTCCCTTCGCAGATCATGGTAGCAGATAGTTGCAAGCAGTGTTCCTTGATGTCGAGTGTCTTATGTTTATTGGTCGGGGTTGTTTGATATGCCAATTCCACTCGGTCGCCGTTCTGTATGTTGGCTCTTGCGCTCAGGTGATTAAATCTAGTTTCTGTTAACTTTGGTAGGGACAACACGTATAAGAGGAGTGTTTTGTTGGTGTAGATCGATGGTTTGCTATATTCAATGGCTTCTAACAACAATCACGGATCAGTTCGTTGACATCTTCATTCAGGATCAAGATTTTATGCTGGACTTCTTGAGAAATTATGTCCAAGTTACGTTTGATCTGCCCTTATGTTTGGACGTGTTTTTCGCTGCTCCTTTCATCTGCTTTTCTTTCGTTTTTATTATGGAGAATTTTTGTGGGAAATGCGATAAAGCCTTTCCACGGACTGGTTGCACAGGTGTGCCTGGTGGTGGATATTGTAAAAAACGTTTTCATCGTGTGTGTTGCATAGGAGGGATCACGGACTATGATATAAAATTGTTTCGAAGCAATGTTCACATTCGCTACTTGTGCAGTGATTGTTTAAATGCGCCGGAGAAAATCTGTAGAGCTATTGATGCAGTGCTTGCCGCGCACAAAATCGGATTGGATTCTATTATGAGTACATTCGAGATGAAGTTTAAGGATTTGCCCTCGCAAATTCATACCATCAAAAATCAAATTAATTTAATTTATGTAAGCAATGCAAATCGCAACAATAATTCTGCAAGCACTGACTCATTAACTGCTGAAATAAGTGCCCGCAAAAATGCAGTTGCTTGCTATAATAATGTTTTGACGTCTATCAACAACAAAAGTGTCAATAACTGCGGTTCCTCTGTGGATGTGGATCTTTTTTCATTTTCTCCTTTAACAAGTACCTCTCGTTCTCACTTGGTTTCTGCATTCCCTGTCACTCCGATAGTTGACAGCGGTGTCTCTCAATGTGCGTCTGCTGATACTAACATACATTCCGCCCTGCAAGGTAGAAGTACACACACTCGTCAGCTGACGGCTGACTCTGTTATCGCTCTGTCTAATAACTTCGCGCTGGCACCTACCAATGCTGTTTATACTTTAGAAAACAATGCTGACACTGCTTCACAGTCACCCATGCAAACGGGGTGTACACATGCGTTAGAAAGCAATGCTGGTACTTCTTTTCATTCACCCATGCAAGTGGAGAGTACAAATACTCGTCAATCGGTGGCTGGCCCTGTTAAGGCCGTGTATGCTAACACCGCGCTGGCACCCTCTACAATAGGCGAAGTTACCGCTGATGTGGCTAATGCTACAGAAAATAAAGGCCAGTTACCCAAATCAAATGATGATGAGAAAAAGAAGAATGGTAATAGAATGAAACGTCGTTATTGGATCCAATGTCAACTCTGAACTTCAAGTTGTTGCTCATACTAAGTGGCTACATTTGTCGTCATTTTCGCCTTCTGTTACAGCAGATAACATTATCAATTATGGTGTTAGGCATTCTGGCATACCGAAGAGTTTAGTATCTTGCTACAGTTTTGTAAAAAAAAGATACTAGTACTGAGTCTTTGAAGCATATAAATTTTAAACTTGGTGTCTCTGAATCATGGTCTGAAAGGATGCTTAGTGTAGAGCTTTGGCCTACAAATGTATCGGTTCGCCCTTTTCGGCGTCTTCAGCAAAAAAATACCCGTGATAAACTAATTGTTCATGGTAAGCCAGTTGATAGTACTAGTGGGGCTGCACTTAGTAAAATCATACTTCCAAAATGTTTCCGGAATGAGAACAAAAGCTGATATAGTCCGCAGATTAAGCTCCCATCTGGAGTTTTATATTTTTGTTTTCGTTGAGAGCTGGTTAACACCTAATTTCTTTGACTCGGAATTCTTCGATCCTGAGTTATACAATGTTTACCGAAAGGAACGTGATGAAAACAGGTCTGGGCTGTCCAGAGGTAGAGGAGTACTGATTGCAGTTCAGCGTAGATTTTCCACGACACTAGTCCAACTTCAAATTAAGGACTTGATTCTCGATCAACTCTGCGTGAAGGTGCGGTGTTCCTCTGAACATATCTTTGTATGTGCCTCTTACATTCCGCCGAATAGTTGCTACGACTTACATAAGGCTCATGTTGACAAGGTCTTGCATCTCAGTTCTGGGATTCGCGATCATCACCTGTGTGTGCTCGGTGATTTTAATTTAAGTAATGTCTCTTGGAAAAGCTTTAATAACTCCTCGTCGATATACGCAACTGATAGCTTCTTAAGTATTGGTCTACTACAAATTAATGGTGTTGTAAATAAACTTAAGCGTATTTTAGATCTTATATTTAATAATGTTAGTTATTGGGTATTCGAATGTCCATCCCCGATGACACATGCAAATACTCTTCATACTCCCATAGAAGTTGACATTCAATGTTATGTCTACGCTACTGTTCCTCATGAGAGAAGCCGATCAATTTTCAATTTTAGTTCATGGAATTTTGACCTTCTGAATAACCGTCTGCAAGAATTTGATTGGGAACATATATTGAATAATATGGAAGTTTATGCTGCATTTCAAATATTTAAAAACTGTGTATATGATGCGTGTATAGAATTCGTACCAACTGTTACAAAGAAGACGTACAGGTTACCTTGATACAATAAGGAGCTCAAGCGACTTAAAAATCGCAAAGGTAGGTGTCGTTGCACAACACTAGTACATCAGTGCAACCGTGTAATGTTTAATTGATTTAACGAAGAATGGGAAAAGGTGGAATATGCAAAAGGACTTCGGATAAATACCCGCCTTTGCATGAGCAAAGAAACACTTTCATTTTGTCAGCAAGCAGCGAGTGCATAAACGAACTAATTGGAAACAACACCAACAACAATCGCCGTCAGCCGCACCATCACCAATAACTTTATCAAATTCGTTTAAATAATTATATTATTCCGTGTTCGTCGTAAAACTCGTCCTCAAATAAGTCAATAAAGTTTTAAATCTTATTTTATATTTAACATAAATTGGTGCCGTCCTTTATTTTGCTGACAAAAAGTTTTCCAATTACGCTTATGCTCGCTGCCATCGTGTGCAGTGTTGCCAGAACTTTTTGGACGAACCGGCTAAATTGGCAAATAAAACCGGCTAAAAACGGCTAAAATGTATGTTGAAGAAAGTCGGACGAACAAGATATATACACGTAAAACCTGTTTTTTGCCCCTCTGAAAGAATTTTAAAAATTCTATACAAATTTATTTTGTTTGAAATGCAACCGTGGACACTAGCTGGCAGAAAAACTTGCAAATTTGCGTTCGTACAGAAAATTGCAAGTTTCTCTACATGAGAGAGAATTTGGGAGCATTTTTTCTTACTATCTGATATTTTGAGTGATAATTCTCGCTGGATTTTCGACGAACAAACCTATTGTCTTCCCTACAAGGCATTTTCAGACTGACCGATTCTCAATACACTCAAATAGATACCAAAACACATAAGAAACGCTGTAAAAATTTTCCTTCAATTTTAAGGCAGTAAAACAACGACCTTAAGTTAACATCAACCAAGGCCATATATTGACAAGGGATGCAAAATCACAGTTAACAAAAGAACTGGTCAGATTTTTCAGAAATCCCTTCAATTCTGATGTAAAATATGATGCCAAAAGACTGCAGATCTCCCATTTGGATGACCGGTCATATGACCGGCAGATGTCTCGTAGGATTCCCAGAGAGTTTTGCTTTACATAAAAATTTGTGCTCTTGTATTTTCATTTTGACTCACTTCAGTGTTGGTTCCTTTAATTCAAGTTGGCATTCGGTTTTTGGAATTTAACAAAGGTCTCAGCAAAAAAGTTTGTTTAAAAAAATACATATGTGTACATAGTGCTTGAAAATATCAATTTTTCCCTTACCTTAAACCTTTGGGAGTGGGCAAAAATGATGTTTTGTAATTTAGGCAGAATTGAATATGCGCTATCTGGGAAGACAATATCTACATGTAACATTTATTCTGTTTGTTGGCATTATATCCAAACAAACGCATCTTAAGTGTCTTAACAGTGAAACAATTTCTTATTTTCTAAGTTTGCGAATAAAACTTCACACTTAAAATTAAGACATTTATAACAAACATTTTATGAAGAAAATCCCTTCTTCGTTTAAAATAAAAATAAGCGAAATCGGCCCAATCTCATACAACCCTGCCTGACATGAAAATTTTCTCCACGATAAGGCTAGTAGCCATTTCTAACAGATTTTGGGTCGCTTAGTCAAAAATGGAAACATATATACATATTTGAAATTTAAGAAAACAAGGCAATTGCAAAATCGGCTAAAAACGGCTAATTTTTTTCTGCAAAACGGCTAACAAATCGGCTTCCGGCTAAATCGAAATTTTTCCGGCTGTTTGCTATCGCAACCGGCTAAATCTAGCCGGAAAACGGCTAAAATGGCAACACTGATCGTGTGTGTTTTGTGTGTTATTTGGACGAGTTGCTGAACGTTGCATTGGAGGTGCCGTTTTGCTGGAAGAGTACCGCTTGTCATCTGATACAGTTTAAGCGGATTTTGTAAAAATATACAGTTGGACGTACAGCTGCACGTACGTTTTTTGGGCACAGCGTGTTGATCTTGGTCATAGGTTTTTCGCGAATAATCTACGAGGCCTACAGACACATTTGAACATTTTTTAAAATACAGTTGGACGTACAACTGCACGTACGTTTTTGCAAAGGGTGTTAGTTGCGCTAACCTAACTTCTCGAATCTTCTGCATTATACAAATCGAAAATGCTCACTAGAAGCCAGACAAACGAAACCCCAGCTGCCGCTGATGGTGATGCTAGCAACTCCGATTCGGACGCAGATGCCACCGCAGTCAACATTGGAGCCCAAGACGCTATGGCGCAACCACAAGCCAACGTCGGAGGCGATGCGTTGGCCACCTTGGTTGCTAGCATTGCGTCAGTACGTGCAAGTGTTGAAGAGTTGCGTAACGAAACCAGCCGTAGCCAAGCAGAAGTTCAGCAGCTCCGTCTGCGAATGGAAATGGATTCAGCCAATGCCACCGCACCAACGTGTGAAGTACAGCCGCCAGTTCAACAGTTTCCTCAAGCAGTACAACAATTGCCGTAGTACAGCCGCCAGTGCCGTTGCCAACAAATGCATTGCAGTTTGTCGAGGGTTCAGCCGCCAAGCTATACCCTTTGCCAACTTTCGATGGCAGTCCGGAAGATTGGCCATTATTTTCGGCCAATTATGTGGACACTACAGCAGAGTTCGGCTATAATAACAGGCAAAATCTCATGCGATTGCAGAAAGCGCTGCAAGGCAATGCCAAACGAGCAGTCATGTCCATGCTCATATATCCTGACGATGTGCCCAAAGTAATGAAGGAGCTCGAATTCAATTTTGGTCGGCACGATTTGTTAATACGTGCGCAACTACAAAAAGTTCAACAGTTTCCTACAATTCACGACAACCGCCTAGATCAGGTTCTGGAGTTTTCCAATCGAGTTCGCAACATAGCCGCGTTTTTCAAATCGGCGCAATGTGAGCACCATCTTATGAACCCTACACTTCTAGAGCAACTGATCTCGAAGCTGCCGCCGTCGAAACAATATGAGTGGAGCAAGCATGCTGTCAACATTAAGCCGTTTCCTACAGTAGACATATTTGCAGATTGGTTGAGCAACTTGGCCAAGGTCGTGTCAATCATGCCTGGGGTAGTTGAAATTTCTCTGCGTTACAGCCAAGCGTCGTTGCCATCGTCGCGTCACCGATCCGGTAGCAGTCGTCAGTTTGCGTCAAGTGGAGTTCCGGCACGTCGAGTCTTACAAAGCAGTGGGGAGCAGTCTGTATGTTTGTGTTGTGATCAGTCGCACGTCTTAACTGATTGCCGTAAATTTAAATCAAATGATTGCGCAGCCAAGTGGTTGCTTGTCAAACAACACCGCCTTTGTTTCGGTTGTCTACAAGCAGGTCATGGGTTATCTGATTGCCGTCGTCGTAAAGCATGCGCCATCAATGGTTGCAAGCGTATGCATCATCAGTTGCTGCATCAAGACAATCATCCGTAGTCACAGCCAACTGCCGACCGGGAACGCATCCTCAACTCTCGCCAAGAAAGTGAAGTCAGCCTATTTAAAATTTTGCCGGTAATATTGTCTGGCCCGCATGGTAGTGTGAACGTGTATGCTATGTTTGACGAGGGGTCATCTGTGTCTCTACTGGAGGAAGAGGTCGCCACACGGCTGAGGTTGAGAGGACGTGTTAAGCCACTTACCCTGCAATGGTACGGTGACAGCCAAACAACAGAGAACTCAAGGCCAGTGTCATGTGATGTGAGAGGGGTGAATGGTAACAACTATTTTCTGAAAGATGTGCATACGATAAAAAGCCTTAATCTGCCGAGGCAATCGCTCGATAAGTTTAAATACGTGCACTTAAAAGAATTGCCTGTGCGTAACTACGTCGATGCCAAACCAGTTTTACTGCTGGGTATGGATAATTGTCACTTAAGTGTGCCCGTCAAAACAGTCGCAGCCCGATATGACCAACCAGTCGCCATCAACACAAAGTTGGGTTGGGTCGTATATGGACCTCACCGCCAAGAAAGCGTTGCCGTCCCTCAAGTTCTTCATGTTCGCAAGTCAGACGCATTGAAGCAATTAAATAAGCTAGTGGGGGATTATTTTGCTACAGAAAATTTTGGTGTCAACAGTCAAGTCGTCTTGGAGTCGAACGAAAACCAACGCGCCAGAAAAATATTGGCGGAAACAACAAGGGACCTCGGTCAGAGGTATGAAGTTGGCCTGTTATGGCGGGAGGACTCGGTCATTATGCCGCCAAGCTATGCAATGGCCAAGCACCGCCTACTTAACATCGAGTCGCGAATGCAGAGAGATGCAGTTTTCGTGGAAAACTACAAGAGGGAAGTCGCGAAGTACCTCGACAAAGGATATGCGAAGCATATGACGCCTGATTAAGCCGCCGTGGAAGGACCAAGAACTTGGTACCTCCCTCACTTTGGTGTTGTGAATCCACACAAGCCGCAAAAACTCCGCATCGTTTTTGACGCAGCCGCCGCTACAAATGGTATTTCGCTTAATTCTGTGTTGCTGAAGGGTTCGGAGCAAGCTCAGCCACTGATAGCTATCATCCACAAGTTTCGTCAGGGTGTCGTCGCTGTGGCCGGTGACATCCAGGAGATGTTCTCGCGAGTACAAATTCTGGAGGCCGATCAAGAGTCACAACGATTTCTGTGGTGAGATGGCAACACGTCCGAGCCTATACGTATTTATAAAATGTCGTCAATGATTTTTGGAGCTATTTGTTCGCCGTGCTGTGCGGAGCACGTTAAAAATACCAACGCCATCAAGTTCATGTCTACGATGCCAAGGGGTGCACGAGCTGTTATTGAAAATACATATGTCGACGATATGGTCATGAGTTTTAATAGTGCCGAAGAAGCTATTGAGGTCATCAACGAAGCTGTCAAAATCAACGCCGCTGCATCCTTCAAGCACCGCGATTTTATATTCAACGACAAACTAGTTCAACAGAAGCTGAATGGTGAAGGTTCATCTGCCAACAAGCAAATCATAAGAATGGAGCGTCAAGCAACAATGGAAAAAGTTCTGGGTATGTTTTCGAACACTGCTAACGATGGTCTTGAATTTTAGTTTAAATTCCACAAAATTACTCACGATGTTATTGATGGTACACGACCTCCAACCAAGCGCGAATTGTTGGGCATAGCCATGTCCATGTACGATCCGTTTGGTCTCTTGGCAAACGTTACGATATGTATAAAATCACTGGTGCAAGCAATGTGGAAGCAACGGGTCCAGTGGGATGAAGCGATGCCATATGAATTAGCGCAGCAGTGGTCAAAGTGGTGGAGCAACATCCAGTCAGTTAAGCATCTTTCGGTGCCAAGATGTTACTCTTTAATGTTACCGGTAGCAGAGGAGATACAGCTGCATATTTTTGTCGATGCCAGCTCTCTGGCCTATGCCGCTGTGGCGTATCTTCGAATAAAGAAAGGAGACAAGATCGACGTCGCTATGGTGTGCGCAAAGTCAAGGTGTGCGCCACTTAAGGGTACGACTATACCACGTCTGGAGCTACAAGCTGCAGTTCTGGGTTGCCGTCTGAAGGAGTCATTAGAACGATGCCATGATTTTCGTGTGAGCAGCACTACATTTTGGAGCGATTCCAAAACCGACATACTTTGGATTCGTTCAACACGTCGAGACTACAAGCAGTTCGTCGCATATCGTGTGGCCGAAATACTAAGCACTACATCGTCAGATCAATGGCGCTGGATTCCCACGACATTAAACGTCGCAGACGAAGCAACGCTAAGTCTGAAGTTCGCAGAAGTGGAGAACTAAACTCCGCAGAGCTCGCCAAAACCGAAATGAAAATACTTCGTCAAGTTCAATTTGAGTCGTTTTCGGATGAAATCCATGCCATCAAGCAGAAGAAGTGCCTACCGAAGTCGAGTTTTTTGTACCAACTAACGCCGTTTATAGATGACGATGGTTTGCTGAAAGTGAACGGGAGAATTGACGCCGCCTACTGCCTGCCAATCGCAGCTAGACGCCCGGTTATTCTGCCTCAAACACATTATGTCACACGGCTGATTGTAAAGCAATACCATTGCCGGCTTCATCACCAGAACGAGAGCCTAACCATAAACGAGATGAGACAAAAATGTTGGGTGCCTCGAGCGCGTGCCTTGCTCAAGTCGGTGAAGAGAAATTGTAATGTATGTATCTACAACAGCGCCAAGCCAGCTATACCACTCATGGGTCAACTGCCGACCGTTTTATGTCACAATTGGCCGAAGAAAAGAGAAGCGATGGGTGAGTTTGTTTACGTGCCTCACGAACAAGAGCCGCACATTTGGAGATTGCAGAAGACCTTTCTACAGACGCATTTATTTTGTGCCTCCGTAATTTCGTCAACCGCCGAGGAGTACCAATAAGAATTCGAAGCGACAATGGAACGAATTTCGTTGGCGCCCAGAAGGAGCTTAAGGCAGAAGAGCGTATGTTCGATTTTGGTCGCATAGAGGGTGAGATGGCACGTCGCAACATCGAGTGGGTATTCAATTGCCCGGCAACCCGTCCGCAGGGGGTTGCTGGGAGCGCCTCGTGCAGTGCGTCAAACGGCTATTGCAGCGGGTATTGCAACAAGAATCACCACGGTTAGAAACCTTTCGTAGCGTCTTGATAGAGGCGGAAAATATAATTACTAGCCGCCCCCTGACCGAGTTAGCCGTATCGCCGCAAGATGAGGAGCCACTGACGCCTAACCATTTTTTTGTTGGGATGCCTTAATTCAACCCAAACGCCGAGTCCAGTTGACGAAAAGGTATGCCTCCGCAAGCAATGGCGCATAGCACAGAACTTGAAAGATCGTCTGTGGAAGAGATGGACAGTCGAATACTTACCGCAACTTCTTCTACGTTCCAAATGGAGAACTGAAGCAACGCCACTACAACCAGGTCAATTGGTTATCATAGGCGACTCTGCGCGACCCAGAACCCAGTGGGAGCGAGGTATGATCACGGAGGTGTTTGTCGCCAAAGATGGTCAAGTGAGAAGTGCGGAAGTGCGCACAAGTTCCGGGTTAATTTGTCGATCAGCAACTAAGCTAGCCGCTTTACGAGTTAGTGAATCCCCCACAGGATTCACCGGTGAGTGGGATGTCGTTGTACAACACTAGTACATCAGTGCAACCGTGTAATGTTTAATTGTTTTAACGAAGAATGGGAAAAGGCGGAATATGCAAAAGGCCTTTGCATGAGCAAAGAAATACTTTCATTTTGTCAGCAAGCAGCGAGTGCATAAGCGAACTAATTGGAAACAACACCAACAACAATCGCCGTCAGGCGCACCATCACCAATAACTTTATCAAATTCGTTTTAATAATTATATTATTCCGTGTTCGTCGTAAAACTCGTCCTCAAATAAGTCAATAAAGTTTTAAATCTTATTTTATATTTAACATAAATTGGTGCCGTCCTTTATTTTGCTGACAGTAGGCTTTTTAAAAGTTTTAAAGCAACCAGGCGCCAATCTGTCTTGGTAAAATATCAGTACTGCCTTAAGAGGTTTAATTCTTTAGAAAAGATTCTTTATAATAGGTTTACTAGGAAAAATGAAGTTAATATCAAAAATAACCCCAAAGCATTTTGGAGTTTTTTAAAATCTAAGAATACCAAATCAAGTATGCCATCTTCAGTCTTCTTTAATGATAAGCAGGCTAATACTCCCGTCGAGGTAGCCAATCTCTTTGCAGAGTTTTTTTCTCTAATTATGGCTGTGATACTGATATGGTTTTTGAAAATTACCCTATTTCAGATTCTGCCCTTAATTTTGGCGCTCTACATGTTTCTGATAGTGACGTGGAAGAAGCCATATTTTATTAAAGCACTCCTTTAAATCGGATTCGGATGGCCTTTCATGTGCTATGCTCAAACGGCCTATATCAAAATCGGCTACTGTTCCAAAAGTTTTTGAGTCGGTTGTGAAACAGAGGCTTAAGTTTGCAGTTAAAAGCTTGATCAGCCCGTATCAGCACGGCTTTGTAAGTGGCAGGCCAACTGTTACTAACCTTGCTACTTTCATGGAGGATTGTGTTGCTGCGTTGCAGACGGGTCTCCAAGTTGACGCAGTATACACAGACTTTTCAAAGGCTTTTGATAGGGTTTCGCACAAGGTTTTAATCAATAAGTTATCGCGTTTCGGTTTCCATTCAACTTTCCTTGAATGGATTCGTTCCTACCTTTTCAACAGGTATTGTACAGTTGCCATCGATAATATACTTTCCAATCATTTTGTTGCCACTTCCCGTGTCCCTCAAGGTAGTATCTTGGGTCCTCTCTTATTTGTCCTATTCATAAACGATGTTGGGTCATGCTTTCTGTCGTCTAAGTATTTATTATGTGCTGATGACCTCAAGATTTACTCAGTGATAAAAAACTCACAAGACGCCATATTGTTGCAATCTGAGCTCGATAGCCTACACTCATGGTACTCTCTTAATTGTTTATCAGTGAACGTTAGTAAGTGCTCATATTCTACTTTCACCAGAAAGCTTCTTCCTTTTCAAACCAAGTATAATATTGGCGGTTATGATCTTAGATCTGTCATTGAGGTTAAAGATTTAGGAGTATACTTTGACTCAAAACTAACCTTCTCAACTCATATTAATTACGTTATTTCCAAAGCTTATGCTATGCTCGCTTTTGTTCAGCGTAATAATCGGTCGTTTAGGTATCCCTATACCCTTAAGCTTCTGTATGTTACTTTGGTGATATCTTGGTAAGAATACGCGTCCTTCATTTGGCGACCCTATCAGTCCGTCTATACAAGGATTGAAAGGATTCAAAATTTTTTTATAAAATTTGCCTTGCGTTCCCTGAGGTTTTTGGAGCCTGTACCCCCGTATGCATCTCGTTGTCAACTCCTTGGCTTAAACTCGTTAAATAGTGGGCGTTCATTCCTCGCTGCCTCTTTTGTGGCTAAAATAGTGGAAGGCACTGTCGATTGCTCTACGCTTTTGGAGAAGTTATCTTTAAATTTTCCGTCTCATAACTTGCGGTGTGCTTCATTATTTTATTTGGGATTTCCGAAATCCCACTATGTGAAATTCACGCCTCTTTTTAGACCCTCTCTGAGCTAAATGAGCTTTCGGAATATGATCCATCGCTCTCATTTGGAGCAGTACGTTGTGTCCTGCTAAATTACTTTAGGTAGTATTTACGCTCCTTTGCTTTAGTCAGTAAGGATTTGTATTCCATTTGATTGAATAAATAAATAAAAAGTTTCTCTTGTCACGTCATTGGGGGCGACCACAATGCCATTGAGCCTCTGCCATAACTGATAAGTTTTCTTAAAAATTTCATCATTCACCTTGTACTGCTGCTTGTTATTTTTATTAAGGGTGTTTCATTTCGGAGGACCTCATCTCAGTCCGTAGCATCAGGTGAGCCAGCAATCCATTCCAAGCTGACCCAATCCAGTTAATAGATCGTTTTAATCTAGCCGCCTCGTGACCTCTTAGTTCGTTTAAACATGTGCGGATTCTGCCTAGCTGGAATAGTAGTACCTATGTAGATGCTGTTGTTTCGTTTAAGGTTGTTATTGACTACTCGAGCCGATTTGTTGCCAGTTCGTATCGTTCCAAATTTACCACATGAATTAACTTGAAGTGTCCATCGGTGATCCATCCACGGATTAGATTAATACATTAGTCCACTAATGGTTTATTACCCATACTCACGTTATAATAGTGACTTTGTACAATTCAAAGTCTTGATTCTAAAATTCGTCTTAGCCATATCCTTTTTACATTATTATATTTTTTATTCTACTCAAAGTCTTAATTCTAAATTTCGTCTTAATCGTGTCATTTTTCTCTCAACTATTCTACTCATTTAACTAGTTATCTAACCTAATTTTTTAATTAACCTAAGATCCTTATTCTAGTTTGGAGTTGCATGGGGTGTCATTGAACGATTCCTTAATGCAACACTGTGTCTAACTCTTAAGTATTTTTTGAACCTTGTAATTTTGTCATGTGGCAACTGTGTGAAACACGATTCCTTTTCGAATTGACATTTGTTGATTCAAAGCCGATAGAGACGGAACCGCGGTAAGTGAATTATAAAAAACTGCTGTGACATTAATCTGTACCCTTAATAAATATATGTCATTTCTTCTTACACAGAAATAAACAATATAAATCCACGCAATGCGATGCAATGCATAACAAATGTGTGAGTTTAATTTTTGCAGTCTCTGAAGAATCAACATCTTTATTTCGCGTCCTATATTCATTTTGCATTTCGTGAATTTTCGTGCTCCCATCTTCGACGAAAGTCAGGCATTTTGGGAGTTAATTTCGTATGATGACAGAGCGCACGCCACCAAGTAGAAGTCCTCGTTTACTTATGAATTCAAATAAGTCTGCGACCAGCGATTCTGTCGCCGATAACGCAGCCAGCTTTGATGTAGTGCAGAATAAGGAAGATAGCACCAGCAGCCAAGAGCAAGACGCTAGCCAGCCGCCTCAAATTATGAATACACATGCAGCATACACTGCAAATGCCGCCGCAGTACCTGAGTGCCTGAACAATTCGGAACGAGAGGATAGTATTGTTAAAGCTCTTTAGCAACAGATGCTTGTATTGGAGAATATGCTTTAAAACTTTCAGGTAAAATTTACTGAAAGTGAATTTCAGAAGGAAGCGCTGAAGATAGCACTTCGAAATGCCTCAAATTCCGGAAATACAATAGCAGTTTCTGACTCCTTGTCAGTTGCGTCACCTGCTAGTTCAAGTATAACTTATGCAAGGCCCACTGTGTGTTATACCGCATT